CTCTGAGGGTCTTACTCCTGTTTCCTCTTTCCCTTCACTGGAGTTACTGAAAAGTTGTCTGTGCTTACTTCTGTTCATGAAACTCCTGAAACCTTAATTCCTTTGAAAGCTTTAAACATCCCTAATATTTAGTTAAAATTGAAAAATGTGTTCAAAAGGCATACTGATGTGGCTTTCTGTTCCCTTGGATAGCCAAGCTAAAAGCATTTTATTGCTGGTAGGAGGGAAATAAGTCCTTCTCTTAAACTTTTTCTAACAAAAAAAACACCCCAAATACCCTGCAGACTTCTTGCTCTTAAAAGAAACTAATTTTAACTTAAAAGAAAAAAAAAAAAAAAAAAGGAAATAAAAGAAAAGAAAAAAACCCCACCAACAAATGGCCACAACCTCTCCCCTGGAAAGCCCGAGCTGTGAATAAAACGTTTCATCCCCTGGCATAAAGGGTGGGTTTGATTTCAGGCAAATCCTGAAGCCAGCAGTTGCAAGGGTGGCTCAGAGAGCAAAGCCAGCATCTTCCTGACTTCTTCAGCCCCGAGCGGTTCAGAGGAGCCCGGAGCAGTGGAAGGGGACCGGAGGCACAGAGATGCCAGGAAGCTGCGGTCTCTCCCTTGTGCCATTTCAGGACTGGGGCTGCTCGCAGGCATCCTGGCCCTGACCTCGGGTGGCGGTGCGGAGACCATTACAAATCCCCAGCAGTCTCCTCCCGGGGATATAAATGTTTCCCTCTGCTAAAAGATAATCTCCTGCTCATCTCCGGGACAGAGCGGCGGGAGGGTGCTCGGAGGGGTAAGGGGAGAGTATCCCCAGCTGTTTCCAGGCTGCTTGTCTCCCGCAGCCCGGGAAGCGGCGGAGCGCAGCGCAGCGCCGCATTCCTGCCCACCTACACACATGCTTCCTGCGCTGTAAATCCGCTGTCCAGACAGATCCCTGACACCCCGGCTTCCTGCGGGACACGTGCCTGGAGCCGCCAGATCAGCCTCACGCTCGTCACCCAGCAGGGAAGGCTCCTGGGAAGGGCAGTGAGCGCTGAGGATGTCACTGGCCCCTTTTCCTCTTGAGGTCTGACGCTGAAAGAAGCTCCCCCTTCTTGCCCGTGCTCCCAGGATCACAGAATCATGGGCTGGTTTGAGTTGAAAGGGACCTTAGAGATCATTCCAGTTCCAAGCCCCTTGCTTGCTTGTTCTTCTACTAGAACAGGTTGCTGAGAGCTCCGTTCTGCCTGGCCTTGAACACTTGCAGGGATGGGCTGTCCAGAGCTTCTGTGGGCAAACTGTTCCACTGCCTCACCACACTCACAGCAAAGAATTTCTTCTTAAAGTAAAGAATTTCTCCCTAAATAAAGAATTTCTTCCTATATGAAGTTTACTATCCTCATGTACTCACTCAGACCGCCCTCTGAAATCCCCAACTCTCAAACATCTCAGGGTCCATCTCCCAGCAGGTTTCCTTTAAGGCAGTGCAAATGAACTTGGCCAAACACCAGTGAGCCCCGAGAGCCTCCCAGCTATGCATGGGGCACTGGCAACTCACACAGGCACACACCCTGTGCTTGTGTTTCCCTGCTGACTGTGCTATGCAGCATGCCTTGCAGCTGAGAGGAGCTGGATGCAGCCTTGCTGCACTGCTGAATATCTCTGCCCAAATTCCTGGTCCATCAACCCATACCTAAGTGTTGCCTGGGAGCAAGAGGGAGGAAGGAAGTTTGGGATGCAGGAGAGAAATCAGGACAGTTGCTGGCTTTTGCAGGGAGCTTATGTACACTACTGCCAGTGGGTTTCCTTGGCTCTGTTTTCCAGCTGGGAAAAGCAAAAGATAGACATTCTGAGCTACCTCAGAACATGTCCAGATCTCTGTGGGAAGCTGAAAATGTCCAGTTCCCTGGAAAAAGGAGGCAGCTGCTGTGTCCACTGCCAAAGCAAACCAAACCACAAGCAATTTGCATTTACCCAGACAGTGGCATGAGAGGTGGTACAGGTCTTAGGGAATTGGTGGCCTCTTTTGAAGTTTTTGTGGAAATGTCCTTGCTAGAACTGTCTCTCATTAGTGCCTTGTGAGTGAGAAGAGAACCCTGGTACAAGTCACTATTTCTTATCAGAATTATGTGCTGCTGCTTTTTTTAATTAATTTATTTTTCAGAAGAAATTATTCTTTTGGTGTGAATTGATAGCAGGAGACTACCACGTCTTAAATGTGGCAGTGCAAGATGTGTTCAGCACTGCCAAAAGGAGCCACAGGACTGGGGGTTTGGGCTGTAACAGACTTGTATTTACTGTGCCTGGGGTACCAAGGCTGTGCAAGCTAAGGCAGTGTAAAACCAGAGGCCAGGTTCATCCTCAGAGACAGGGGCCAGCCCAGCAGCAGCAGTGTCAGGAGCTGCCAGTTTTACTTCACAGAGCCCTTGGGATGTGTGATCTGGGCATAGGCCAGGTGAGCAGACTGGCCAAAACGAGAAGAGGGTCTGTCTCCAGGTGGGAGTTATTCCCTGCTGCCAATGCACTGGCCATTGCACCCAGGCCATTCTGGGAAAGACTCTTCTCCAGCTCCCACGAAGAAGTAGGTAGAGCAGGGTTTCACAAGAACAGCACTTTTCTCATTACATTTCTTTTGCCTTTTAGGTTGAAATCTATGAGGAGAGAGGCTGTTTTCCAGGCTGTTTGGAGAGCACACAATGCATGACCACTTTTCCATGAAGCCAGGCTTGAGGAGGTAACAGCTATTCCCACCGTGGACATGGTAGATGAGATTCAACCAGCTTCTGGTGTTTCTCCAGGAGCAAGCACGAGGTCTCAGCAGTGTGCTCAGAGCCCAGCCTGGTGCCTGTGTGCAAGGCTGACTATCCCTACCCACATCCATGGGTGCAGATAGAAACCATGTCCTGGAGCAAGAGCACAAAGCCAAGCTCTTGCTCAAATGGTCTGGGCAGGGAGAGCATTTCCTTGCCGTGTCGTTGGTTAAAGGTGGATGCTCAAGGCCTAGAGCAGAGCCAGGCTGGCAGTATGGAACATGAATTGGCATGGCCCTCCTTGCCCATTCCCTGGAGGTATTTGCCCACAGCTCTGATTTCAGCAGATGAGGATACAGCTGCTCTGAAGCTCTCCCTGGGCTGCTTTGTATGAGTGCAAACCCTGCTGTGAATCTTCTTCTCTCCTCCCCATCAGATTTGGAGATTCCCATACCTCTTCCCCAATAACACAAGCTACAAGGTTTGCTGTTTACTCCAGGGTTCAGCCTAAGAGAGAAAAGGTGTTTGATATTACTGTTCTCCCATGGTCCAGGCAGGGGAAGCAGCACCCAGCAGAAGGGAGCCCTTAACTCCAGTTAATAAACACATCCTTCACTTCCAGCCTCTCTTCCTTGGTGAGTGCCACTTAGGGAAAGCTGCTTGGACTTGGCTGGAGATCAGCCCTGCGAGTTTACAGGATTCACAATTCACAGATGTTAGGAGCTATCAGGCTGAGTGTGGGTGGAGAATGTCAAGTCTGAAATAGCTCCCCTGCCACCCTGGCACAGGCAGCAAAGAAAAATGTTTCCACGTGACATTCTTCGAACTAACATTTCCTACAAGGAAAACACAGAAGGGAAAAAGTAAGAGGCAATTGATGCCATCTCGGAGGGCTCCTGACTTTTGCTCAGGGGTGGCTGGAATCAGTGCAGACATTGGCACAAAATATGCACTATAGGTGAGCTATAAGACTGTCAGTTCCTCACACTGCTCCTCGTCCACACAAACATATAGGTCTGCCTGAAGATGCAATCCCTCTGGTGCACAGATATGTGGGTGCTATTTTTTTCCTGCTGGAATCCATTTTAATTTAGCTCCTGATTCATATTTCATTCATTCTCCAAACCCACAAAACCAGGATAGGTTTACAGTCTGTACTATTTGGATAAATCATGGAGGGGGAAAAAACCAGGGGGACCAAACAGGTTGCTTTCCTGAATGATTTTTTGTGTGACTCAAAAGAGAGAAGAAAATAAAAAGAGGTGGTGGGGAGAGAATTAAAGCCATCTTTTCTTGCTTTCGTGTTACTTCAGGAAAATCAGATCTGTATTTTATCTTTGGTAGTTTGTTTTGGTGGACTTCACTCTTGTTTCTCTAGGCTTTAGTGTCTGAAAAACATGTGATTTCTGTTTTCTTACTTTTACTTTCTTCTCAAGATAATTGAAAATATTGGGGATTTTTTAATGCAGAAAATGTATATGTTATTTACAGAACACTGGAACAATGCAAGATTTCTGTATCATCTCAATTATTTTGGAAAAAATGGCAAAAAGCTATACAGGGAAACATTAAAGATATCTGATAGTTTTCTTGCAGGGAGGAGGGCAGGAAGGCGAGGCAGAGGAGCAAAAGTTCAGAGTTAATTTTAATTGAGGAATTTCCCCATATTTTGTCATTCAGCTTTTGAAACTGTGACCACAACAGACTGTTTAAACTGTGGTGTGAGAGAGACTGAAAAATTCCCCAGGCAACTATGAGGAGGTACTAACCCCAGAGCTGACAAGGAAAGCTTTTTAAGTACGATGAAATTCAGCACGGGCGCTGCACCCAGCAGAGGAAACTCCGGCCATCTGGAGACGAGGATGACCAGCGGCCACAGCAGCCTGTAAAATTGCAAGAGCTGCCAAAATTAAACTGTGAAGTCAGGCGGGAAGGCAACCAATGACCAGCGAGATCAGAAGTTCAGAGAAGCCCCAGATGAGCTCCCAACAACAAGTGTGACCAGCATACACCAAAGTTTATTAAGGATGTTGAGAGGAGGGGAAAATATCTGTGCAGAAGATGCCCAGCTGGCGAGGAGGGAGTGGTGGTGATGCTCGGGTAACTGGAGGAATCCCATTGGCCAAGTCCCCAGCAGATCCCACCCATCCGCAAGTGTAAAATAAATCTCTAAAGTTGTACCTCGTGTACCACTTGACCTTATTGCTTTTAGCCTGCTGGCTTTATATCTATTTATTTATTTTATTTCGGTTTGTCCCCAAGGAGGGGCTCGAAGGAAATGAATTTTGAAGCAGCACCTTTCACCACCTTGCCATACTACCCTGATCCCTGCATCCAGCGGTGAGTCTGAGCGTGACGTAACTCTCCTATCGCAGGTTTGATCAGAGTCTCCTGTGTAATTGTTAACTTTCCTGCTATCGGCCGGTGGCAGCTGGGCTGCACGCGGAAAAAATGTGCTGCTCTCTTCATGCTCAGTGGAGCTTATTATTATTTTTGGCTTTCTAACAGGTTACTGTTTAATTATAGACATCCGTTTAAGATATCCCCTTTTCCTCTTTGGCATTAGAGGAAAAAAATATATATGATAAATAACATGAAAGCTGATAGTATCTTTCACTGGTGTTTTGGAGCAGAAGGTTACACTGTGCTTTGGGTAGTACAGGAATGGCTTTAGCTTTCTGTTGTGTGTTTGCTTGTTTGTTGAAGTGAAAAAACTCCTGGGAATAATATGAGCTGAACTATTAAGCCCTGAGATTTTGAAATTGAAAGGATAAATAGTTAATTTAAAAGATTCAGAGAAGAAAAGCTGCCTTCTAAGAGAGAGCAATTTTCCAGGAATATTTTTTCCTTCTGCCTAACAGCCAGTGTCACAGCCTGACAACCACTCTTATTTTAGCTTTGTTGTTACGCTGAGTTTTATAACTTTCCAGCAGATAAAAGAGCATGTCCACACGAGGTGTCACAGTATCACATTGTCGGTTTGTTTGTTTCTCCCAATAGAAGATACTATATTTAAGCATGCAAATGACATGTAGATGGTATTTTTCCAGTCGTAAAGTTCAGAGAGGTGAAATCCTCTGGGTACAGTCACTTGATGAGCTCCATTATAAGACTGGTTTCTGTCTGTGTTTTGTAAAAGCCCAGGCCGGTGTCTCATGGAGGCATTAATCCCTGGAAGAGTTAACTATTAACTCTGCATCCTCTGCAGGGTGATGGGGAAGGCTAACCTTCTGCACAGCTCCGTGTTGGAGAAAGGGCTTGGCCACCATCACCCAGCCCATGGCATTGCAGGCAGTTTTGTGATCTCTGGGTTTTTTCCCCACTGTTATGCTTTGTAGCAAGGTTTGTGGTGGCTTTTATCCCCCCTTAATCCGGGTGTTTGGTGCCACTGCTGTGTGAAGGTCCTGGGGAGGAGAGTGGAGACCTGGCAGCGAGGAGGGGCCACGTTTGGGGCCAGCAGAGGGAAAGGAGAGAGGCTGGGAAATATCGCACGGTCCTTGGCCGCGCTGCCGTGGCACAGGAAGGTGGAACGGAGCCGGGGGTATTGGATTCCCCAGGGAGACCTTCCACAACACGAGCCCAGGGCTGGCCAGGCACATGCAGCCATGCTCTGATCTCCTGCAAATCCACCCAGCCTCGCTGACCCCAGCAGGGATGTGCCTGTGGCCAGGAGAAAGCAGCACAAGAGCAGTGCCCTCCCAGCAAGGTGGGTTTGGGCTGACAGCAGTGGAGTCTTTAGCACATTAATGTTTCCATGGCTGGAAGCCCCAGCCAGGCAAATTCCAAAACTGAAAATGAAGAAAAAGGAAAAAAGGGAAAACCCCTGATGCTGGAAAGCGTGAAGACACACTGGGAAGTGTACCTGAGCTCTGGGACAGCTTCCCAGCCTGTGAACTCCTGCCAGTTTGTATCTCTAAGAGGTTCCAAAAATGGTACTGTGGCTCAGGCAAAAAATCAGCTGGAGCATGAATTAAAGAGAAAAATAATCCATTGGCTGTATTTAGTAGAACTTTTTAAATAAGCCTTTCACCCTACAAATCTGCCTCATCCAGCAAGGCAGGCCTCACAGTAGCAATGCTGCTCCTCACCACATGTCTTAGCAGCATGATGAGTTTTGAAGTGACCATTGCAGTGTAGGAAGCCCCAGGACAGATAGAATTTGTGACACCCCTCAGTCATAAAACCTGTTTGAGGTGTAGCTTAGAGTAACAACATGTCTCAGCTGTTAGGTATGTCTGTTTATATGAGCCAAGAGTGGCATTTGTTCAGTTATTAGTGACTGTGCTCTGCCACAGGTCAAAATCAGCTCAAAGCTGGTTCCCAAGATACTTTTCTCAGCCTGACATAGATGAGACATAGATGGTCTTCATCTTTAAGATCCATTGGTTGCATATTCATGATGTGTTATGTGACATTTCTCTGACTGCTTTAACAAATTTCAATAGTTTCAGAATTGCATTTATTTTACACACTTTGAAACACTTCTCCTCTGATGTGGTCAACATACTTTATTTAGCTAATACCAATGTGCTTCTTTTCAACCTTAAAATTACATCTAGTAATTATCTAACCAGCAAACTGATAACGTTGAGCTGACGTATGCTGGCAAAAAACCAATAGTGAAAAGTGTTTCAAACCCTGTTAAACTGGTGGTAGGGTCTGCATGTCACACAGATTTCCCTGTAGTTCAGTGTGGACAGGGAAACGCTTAAAAATACAAGTTAACTCTATGATTTGTGGCTTTGATTTACCCTCTGCTGTTTCAGCTACTTATCTCTTCGGTTTGCGGGTGTCCAGCAGGCAGGACATGTGGGAGCCAGCTAAAACATTTCCTCTGTCAAGAGGTGAACACACAGCACACCGAGGAGCATTAGCTAATGTGCCTTTATCATCCTCTTATGCCTTATGCCTGTCATTTCACAGGCCACTGTGAAACAATATGTCCAAACAACACAGTAATTCAGTGCCACAGATGAGGAAATATAGCTGAGTGTCCAGACTCTGTGCCATGTGTGATTGTTTAGGCCACTCCAGCCTCTGTCTCAACAGCCCATTTAGGCTATTAAATTCTTTGTAAATGTTGGTATCAAAGCAAAGCATCACAAAAAAAAAATCATAGGGAACTCAGCTGGGTCATAGGATAACAGCCTGCCCCTTCACAGAACACTCATTGCTGTGTGCTGGAGTTCAGTGCTGGAGCTGCAGCCCAGCTGACAGAGGGGCAGAGGACCAGGGGATGCTGATGGGGATGTACATCCTTTTGCAGAAGTGAAGGATGCAAATATAGCTTGTGACTGAAGTGAGGTTGTTTGGACAGGTGTATCCTGAGTCTGCCCATCTTCTTCTTAAACAGAAAGAGCCGGGAGGTGCTGAAATTGAGCAGACCTCAAAGTCTTTCTCCTTTTACTTCCCCTGTCAAGGGAAATACTTGAAATCAGGAATATGCACACTCAGTGCTCTGGCTCCTGGGAAGTGCTGCTGTAATGACAGAAGCACCTGCACTGAAGTGCCAGGCCACTGACCCCCATGAATTACTGGCTTGGATGGTACCGTGGGAGCCCATCCTGTGCTGCAGAAAAACCAGGTCAGCTCTGAGTCATAAAAAGAGCTGATTATCTGAAACAGGCGGGATTTCCACCTTCCAAGAAGTGCCCACCTAGCTGCAGCTGAAAGCCACTAATGTAAGATGAAGAAGGCACTGTAATTATGATCAAAGTCCAGCTGTTGAGAGCTATGTAATTAGTGTCTCTCCCCAAAGCTGCTTTTTTTTCAGCTAATGCCTGGTTGGGGGAGTGATGTTTACAGATAAGTTACTTGTGTTCTTGGAAATAATGGTCATTAGGCTGTGTTTTACTCAGGAGCCCTCTTCTTTGGGGGCTGTTGGGAATGCACCTGCTGGTGCAGTGGACTGTAGTCCTGCCTGCTCTGCTCCTCCCTCCCCCCATGCCCAGGCTAATTGGTGGCCTCGGGATTTCACGTCTTTGCTGTGTTGAAGGTGTTCACCATGGCTCTCTCCTCCCTTTTGAATGAAAGGGCTCTCACACAAGCTGCTCTTTCTCCTTTCATTTCTTGCTTTGTATTCCCAGTACAATGTGATACAGTCCAGCCTCTCAATTCTCAGTAATAACAGAGGAACAACCCTGAAATCCTCTGGTCTCTGCAGCATCTGTGCTGGAAGCCTGATTTCTCAGACATGGTCCTGGGTTTTGAGGAGGTTGCTAAAACCAAAAACTCAAACAAAACCCCTCAGATATGTAGAAAAAAAAAATCAATTTTTAGAAAACAATGAGGAAAACTGTAATAAATTACTTAAAGAAGGTATTAGAAATTACTTAGAAAGGAGGGCAGTGTTTGGGCCATAGAAACATCATCTATTGGTTGCTGTATCTGGATGGATTTTGGTGAGCAGGGCCTAGTTCCAGCCAGTCAGAGCTCCTGGGTTCAAAGAGATCTTTCATCAGGAGCACTGCATGTGTCACTTCACCTTCCCTCACTGGTTCCCACCCGTATCAAACCAGGCTGGGGAACGGACTGCAATTATCAGATAGGAGTCTGGCCAAGGTCAGTGCTGCAATACAGCACCAAGGTGGAAACTCACTGTACCCCGTGCTCATCACTGCCAGCAGCCTTCTCTCCCTTGAGCTGGGAGGGAACGCCTCCAGACAAAACATGCTGGCTGCAGGCAGCACGGTGCTGTGTCCCTCATGGTTGTGAATCAGTGAATCACAGTAATCAGCTCTCCTTTCACTCGGGTACCAGCTGGGTGACAATGTGACAGTGTGACTGATTTGTTTAAGGTGTCATAGGGTCGAGTCCCACAGGAGCATCTCATCCCACGTGCAGCCTCTGAAGAATCCTTGCATTTGGGCAGCTGAACATTTTTTCTCTTTCCTCATATTATGCTTTGTTGAGGAATAACTGAACTCCTGCCATGGTAGTGGATAAATTTCTGTTGCCTTCACCTATGCAATGGGAGCCCAAATTTGCTGTGTTGGCAAAAAGACCTGAAGTCAAGTAAAGAAAGACATGACCTGGTATAGATCTATTTGCAGAAACAGACAGTGATAGTGCAGGTACTTTCCAGAGATCCAGAGAGGACCCAAAAATTGTTCTGAGCAGCTTGTGGTGTGCTCAGAGCAGCTGGTGACTCCTGAAGGAGCGGAATTGGCTCCATGCAGGAAGGAGAGGTGGGAAGGTGCTTTTGTCTGGCCTTTGTGAGCTCTCCTGTGGTCACATTCACAGCTATGATGGTAAAAATTCCATGGGGGAAGGACCACAGCTGGAGCCAGATGCACATGAGAGGACAGCATTCCATGTGCCAAAACAACTCTTGCAGAGCA